CAGGCTGATGTTATCTGCTGATGTTATACATGTACTATTATTCCAGCATCCACGTCATGAATGAAATGCTGAATTTTATCAGTGCTGTCCTCCCAGTTCAAGAGGTATTACTACTCCTCAGCATGCACTACAGTAGTGTTGCCACTTTAACTGCAGCAGCACTTCTAAGGTTGCTTGGACCTCTGGTGCAGGTGTAGCTTGGTCAACAGAAGGTATTTCTCTACCACCAGGGTTGCCCAAGTTCTCCTGAACAGCAGAAGCCTTCTTCTGCCAACAGAGCTGCACCCACGTGATTTAAAAAACATTTTTTTTCCTGGTAAAGTTATGTCAGCTTCATCCTTTCAGTCCCCCAGCTGACATAGCTCTGCCAACAGAACTTTGTAATGCAGAAAAGGCCTCTGAGTACTGTTTTTTTCAATCACTTGTGTACCCACCTTATAGCGACTTTATCTACACTGTATTTATCACTTACTTATAAAAACATCATGAAGCCTTACTAAAGACTAGGAGCCAGATCCGATTCCACCTACTAGATGGTTATAAGAGACTAAATAAGGGAGGCAAGAAAAATAATTAAACAAGTTTCATGCTAGGGAATCAAGTCCATAGGCTACATGACATTTGTACTAGTTCTGACCTCAGTTACCTCAGAGTAAAGGCCTGTTGTTACTCTGATTTCAAAAGACACATTTACACCTCATTTATATAGGTGTAGTAAAGATGGGAATGGGCCTGTTGCCTCCAGTCTTAGTTTTCTAACTCAACATTTCTGTTGTAAACCATTTACAACACTGGAGGTCTGTATGGCAGGATATTGGGATATAAAATTAGAAACATCCTTTGTAACGCAAAAATGTGACCCTCTGTGTGTATAAATCTTCACACGCTTTTCTTATATCAATGCCTCATATTTCAGTTCTCTAAAAATGAAAGGAATGCCCTTTTTTAAAAAATACTATCATGCAGTCAGGAGTGTGACGCGATGTCTGACAATTACTGGTATCTGTTCCCACAGGCTTATATATCCTGCTCCCTCTTCTGGCCAGCAATGTAATAAAGAAATCACTTCCTCTCTCTGAACACGCTTTCACATATGGGGACTTGAATTTTGGAAAGAAAGATTAAATTAGTTTGGTAGGACAGAGAGTCCTGAAATACACTTCCACTGAATGGCTATATTTGGGTTCATTTGCTCTGTACAAAAGTAATTTTAGTATTACCTTAAAAAGCCCAGAAAATACCCACTACTATTCTCTACTTAGCTCACTAGTCAATCTACTTTTAGGAAGGTTGAGAGGGGAAGAAAATCCAGCAGCTTTTCTGTGTCTTTCCATCCCCCTTTTTAAGATTTAAACTGTTCCTTCTCAATTGCTCACAAAGGATAGGGATACTGCAGACCTAAAAAAGGAAATGAGCAGAGATTCCCATTGTCTGGAATAGTGGACTTGCCAAAATGTGCTCAGATAATGTTATATTAACTATGACATCCACAACAGATGCTTAAAGAGTCCAGCTTTTTTAAAATAGCAAAACCCAAAAGACTTGTCTCCAAAAAGATGCTGCAGATTCTGAGCATTTTTGTCATTTTTCAGTCCCTCCCACTTCTTTTGCAGGCTAACAAACACATTTATTTCTCAGACAGGATTTTAAAACCCCATCCAACAAGAAAAGAGAGTTCAGAAAATGCAGCCTAAGTGGGAAAATATATACACAACAGCTTACTGTACATTATTGCTCTTACGACCTTTTGAAGGCAAATAAGCTCCTAAAGAATTACTCTATTACTTCCAACCATCCTCTACAATATTACTCCTGAGACAAATCAAGAAACATTATGTGCTGTTTACAGTTAAAATATATCTATGTGAATGGTATAAGCGTTATTATCACAAGTAAGATATGTTTTATAATAAAGGGATGATTAACATTGAGAATATACTGCATTTTTGATTGGAACAATAATTGACTATACATCTGAAGCTTTGTTTGGTTGTCAAACAATGAAAACAGAGAGAAATTCTTCAGTCATTGAAGAACTGCTGAAATCTATTTGTTCTGTAAAATCTCAGAGTTATATAATATTACTGTTTCCAGTTCTTCATGTCTTCTTATTTCACACCCTGTACTTAAAGCCAGTATCATAATCATTTAAGATTTTTCTCCCGGTGTTTTCCTTTCAAACTTCAATGGAACATTGAGTCTAGTCAGTTAGCCCAGAGCAGCAATCAAGGGAAGTGACATTACTTGCCATGTATTAACTTTGACCTGTGTTTTGAAACTAAAGTTTAGGATTAAAACTGGTACTTCTGAACCCACAAGTAGCCATAAACATGAAACGTAGTTTAAATACTAAACACTAAAAAGCCAGTTTGAGGTCAAACCATCATTAAAGCAGAACTCCTCTCCCAGGCTCCCCCAGTGTTGGTATCAAAAAATGATGGGCTCGATCCTGCCATTCTCGATTCAAGCAAATTCCCAAGTGATCAGAAGTTTGCCTATAGAAAATCATTCAGTGATTGGGTAGAGATTTTCTCTCCCAGGAAAAGAGCCTTGTTTTCAGATACATTACACAGTTTCTACAAGGCAAATAGTTCTTTCAACTCTTGTGCATAATGATGAAGGTTTTTCAAAAGAATCAAGCTAACTGCACATTCAGCACGTTGTTTGCTGCGCACCTTGTAAGAGGAGACTGGAATTCTCCTCTTACTGAACCAGTTACTCATTGAATAGCTAAGAGATAACAGGAAGCATTTAATAAATATATTACCCATTGCATCAAAAATAAATATCATTTATAAAACATTCATTATCCTTTTCTTTTCATCATAATACAGTGTATATAAATGTGCCCGGTACAGATGATATTTACAAATGTTTGTCTGAATGTTTCCATTTAATGCATTCTCCCAATTACATTACAGTTATATCAAGTTAGGATGTAGCTTCTCTCATAATTATGCCATCAATGTATATTAACGATGAAAATAAAGTGTTTCTGAGCATACAAAAGGATTTCAAGTAGGAAGAATGGCTTTCAATATTTAGTCTTGAAGTGGTTCCAACTTAACCTGCAGCATTTTAGAATTGCAGCCAATATTTACTTGAGAGAAATTTGTTGTTATTTAACCAAATAACAGAACATATAAAAGCAAGATTACTCTGGGGGGTGGGAGGAGGAAGTTTAATAATACAGTAATAATTGTGGTATCGTCCAGTAAAAGTGTACTTTTAAAAGGTTCTGAATATAATTTACCTCAGATAACTTTAGAGTTGTAAATACTTGCATTATAGTGAGGTAGACAGTAAAAAAAAATCTCCGTTATTAGCACAGAATTTAAATCTTGCAATAATATTTTAAGGAAATGATAATGTTAGGTAAGAATGAAATATTTGATTAATGCTTAACTCTGTACAACTCAATATAAACTTTAAAAATATTAGAAATTATAACATTTCGAGTGCATATAATGTTTTGTACATTTAAAAAAAGAAATGCATGTTGTTCACTTCCATTTTGCACTTTTCAGTCTGTTTAAATAAACAAATATTTACAACTTTAATATGAACAACAGTGCATCCAAAGAAAATGTGCATTTTAAATTATTGCTTCTTGTTGAGTCTTTTTATAAGCATTTTATATTAGTATTCTCCTCTTTTTTTTCTTTTTCACCAGTTTGTAGCTCTGTGAAACCAGATAAGCCGACAAGCTTAGAATTCAGCGGAGGGAAAAGTCGGAAATCACAGACATAGAAGTTAAAATAAAAAAAGAGGTTCTAGGCAGGCTTAGAAGTGCACTTTCCTTAGGCAAAGCCATGTTGCAGACTAAAGGTGGAAAAGAAACCAATCTCTGATAAAATGCCTTTTCCAGCACAATATTTGCCTATAATACTGTTGCAGGTTGACAGAGCTACCTCGAGAGAGCTACCTGTGGAATTTGTTCCTTGCATTGTTACACTTGGCTTGAAATGAAAAGGAGCTTCTGTTCCCCATCACCCCTGTTTGTGCTTTCTGTAACACTTTGCTCTTTTCACAGTTTTTTTTTTTCAGTTCTAAGTCTTAAAATATAACCTAACTGGTAACTACAATCTGGAACGATTCTTTTTTTTTTTCTTTTTTGGGGGTAAGGGTGGGGCGGGGGAGTAGAAAGAGGGGGCCCTAGGCTATTTCTGCCTGGTAATCTTGCAGGAATGTGAAAGGGAGAGAGGGCAGAAACGAAATAACCCTGTTCAGAGAAACTTCAGAGGCAGGAATCATTCTGCTTGCTCTCTCTGATCTGGGTTTTTTTGTTTTGTTCGGGGTTTGTTTTTTGTTTGGGGTTTGTTTTGGGGGAGGGGGATTTGGTTAATCAACTTTCCAGGGGTCAAGATCATCAGATAATTCTAGGGTGGGGGGAAGGCCTTGGGAGTCAAGACTTTTCTGGAGGACTTTTATTTATGATTTTGCCTTCTCTGCTTGCCACTTCCATGCCAGCCCCTGAAAAGAGTCGTGCCTATTGCCTCCCCTTCGCCTCACAAGGGGCTGAGTTTTAACAGGTGCCTGGCACGGCGTCTCCTGCACGCTCCGAGGCGAGGAGAAGGCAGCGGTGTCATCCTCCTCCCTCGCCGGGGCTGCCGCCGCCTCCTCCGGACCGCGCTGGTTGCCCCGGAGCTGAAGGAGGCTTTGGCCGAAGCGGCCCCTTGCCTCTTCCAGCCAGTCCTTTGCAAGGCGGGAGCGGGGTGCAGAGGAGGCCCGGGCGGGGCCAAGGCGGGCGGCTCGGTCCGCGGAGGGAAACCCCGCCTTAGCCTCCAGAGCGGGCATCCGGGCGGAGCTGCCTCGCGGCGACAGGGCGGCGCGTGTGGCCGTGACGAGCGGGAAGCCGGCGGCTGGCGTCGCG